TGAAGCGGGAGGATCCTAGGATCCCTAGGATCTTAGATTCCTATGGATGATAATTAGCAAAGCGGTCTTCTTCGATGTATCAGAAGTTTTCCTTTGACCAGGGAGTATGCTCGGAGGTGGTGGAAGACCTTTGGAGGAAATGGTAGGAATAAAGGAAGAAGATAGGGTTGGTTGTGTAGACATGATTTTCGAGAGTTATGAACACCACAGCCCCATGGCGGGGGCCAAATTGTTTTGGTCAAAAATCAATCAAATGAGAATCAACCAAGTTGTGTGAGAGGTTGTGGTCTTGTATTTGGAATAAGTATTGAATTAAGAAAAAATCACACAAGTGGTTTACAAGGAAAGCCCTTATCCTTGTTAGGATCTCCGACATAAAACCTTGGCAGGTGATAATGATCACTTGCCTTGTTTAATTGTATTGATTGAAATGCGAGTTACAGAAATGGAAGTAAGTACATGAGTACAAATATTGCAGTAAGTCTAGTTGTGTGTAATGTGAAGATTACGTGTGTATTTATAGTCTAATCCAAGTAACTAAAAGTACGATTTTTCCAGGATCCTCTTGAATAAGTCTAAGCATGTTGTTGAGAGAAAAACTTGAACAAACGTTAGTACAAGATAATGTTGCAGAATAATAAGTTAATCTCAAAGGATCTTTTTAGCTCAACAATAATAAGTTAAAAGAGTTAGATTGGGGAAATATAAAGGAAATAAATATCAACAAGTTATATCAAGCAGACACTAAGTTGAGTCATAACAAGGATTGCATGCAAACTCAAGTTAGCAAATGTGATCAACTTAAAGTGAAGAGGGACTCGAATTATCAGTTAAGATAGAATAGAGATGAATGATCTTTGTATTTCGATAATAGTTCTGGAAGTGGGTGTGAATTACATGAAGAGGGAAGCTCTATTTATAGAGTCCCGAAAAGTTACATCTCTACGATAGTTCTCCAGGTCTGCGGTTCACAAAAGATAAGATCAATCTTCGGTAGTCATTTTCTTCTACGGTATCACTAACAATCCAGGTCTGCGGTTCCTAAGCTAAAGAGGGTCAATTTTTGTTTCAACAATTTCCCCCAAAGTGACCTCTTAGCTATTTTTTCTTCACTTGTTCAACTTAAGGAACTTGATGAGAATCCACCAAAATTTCCTCACTTTAAACAGCCATTGGATTCTTCTGGTTATCTTGAACTTGACTTCATCTATTGTGTGCTTTGACCGTTGTACTGAAGCCAATGTGATATCCAGTTGTTTCTTGGCCAGTTGATGGATTGCGGTCACCGGAATGAAATATTTGAGACCACCTTGAGCTTTCTTGTATACGACCCCTAGTTCAGGGACGTTTGTTGCACCAAGTGACATGTCTTGGATTCCTTCAGTGAAGCTTGACACATGTTCGAAGTCAGGAAAATCGAACTTCTTGGCAAGGACTGGATGAATTTCAGCATCAATCTTTCCAAAGTCGCATACCAATGCCTTGAGGAATTCACAATCTCTTTCATAAGCAACTTTCATCTTTGGATATTTTTCAACTTTGAACTGAAACACCCGAGCTATCAAGAATATTTCTTCTGGGTTCATGTTCACAAAATCCGATTGGGTTCAGACATATTCACTTTCTCTTCAGTTTTCAGGAATTTTCTCATCTTGTAGTTTTTTACTCTGTCTGGTTTATCATTGGACCAAATTTTCTCAAACTCAGAACCATGCTTAGCATGAAAGAGATTCAGGCGTTCAAACTCCATGGGGAGTCTTTTATCATCCAGAAGGTTGAGATCAAATGGTTGGAAGATTAGGAAAGAACTTTGAGTTTGGGGAGATTGGTATGTCCCAGTGACCATCTGATGGAGATTCAGCATAAGTAAGGATTGGACGATAATCATCATCCAGTAGTCTGCAGGTAGGATTTACCCGAGAATTGACTAACGACTCATCCATAATTGTGTCGAACCCGTGAGCTCTTCAAATTTGTTCTGCAAACTTGGCGGCCCTCCAGTCACGTTTCCTTTGAGTAGTGGCCGGGGAGTCATCAGAATGTTCAGATGACATTTCAGGTGATAAGTTTTTGAAACAAGGAGTTTGTTGTGGAGAGTCTTGAGATATTGACTTTTGTGGAGACTTTGGTGAAGACCGCAGAGTTGGTTGTTTTGGAGAAGATTGGAGAATTAGTTGTTTTTTGAGTTCTGTGGTAGGAGGAGGTGTTGTTGATGAACTAAGGGAGTCTTAGATTATGAAGGATCTTGTTCATGTTCTCTTCTTGTGAAGGGTCCAGTTAGTGGTTTGGTCTAGGCTTTCAATGTAATAGTTCTTTTGAGTCGTTATTGTGGTTTAGTGGGTTATTTGGTTTTTTACGGCCCTGTAGTGAGTTTACGGCCGTAAGCCTGTTTACGGCCGTAAACCCAGTTTTCGGCCCAAGTCCACTATATATAGAGGTTGTCTAGGTCATTATTGGTTGTTGATGCTACAGAGTTCACAGCCAAGTATATCGAGTTGTACCAGACGTTTTTCAGTAATAAACGTGTGCAAGCTTGATTTCGTTTCTTCTTCTACTCATATTCTAGTTTCTTTTGATTGTTTGATTGCTTGATCATTGGTAAAGATCCGTTTTAGGACCTTACATCTTGGATTACTTTCACTTCCACCTTTTGAGGAAGCAAGCTCCTGCTGCTCCTCAAACCATTGCTTCAACCAATCAATTTTCTGAAACGTCTCATTGAACTGGGTCTTCATTTGTTCACAGACTTGTTTATTGTTTGGGATCTCCTTGTTGAAGAGCAGGTGCTAAATCTCCTTTGTAAGGCGGAGGATTTTATCAACACTTAAATTTTCAGTGAGTGGTCACCTTAACTTATTGATGGTGTTTTGGAGGACTGCAAGCCCTGATTCGTATGCGGTGTGGGTCTCTTCAACTAGTTGCTTTGAATGACTGGCTTGATCGCCAAGTGTTTGTTTGAACTCTGTTTTCAACTCCTTGATTTCTTTGATATGAACTCTTTGTGTTGTGCGGCTCTTTGATTTTCAAGATCCCGAATACCCATTTAAATTCTTAGAAGGATTCTTTGAGCATTCATCCTTTCTCTTGTCTCTAAAACTTCAACACGATCAAGAAGTGACTGGGGTGTTGGAATTTCAGTGCTCTGTGGTGCTTAAGTGGTTACGACAGCAAGAATTTGATCAACTTTAGCCTGCAGACTGAGAAATTCTTTCATAGAGACTACAATCTTCTTCTTCTTCTTCTTCTTTTGTTTTGGCTTGGAGGTGGAGTGTTGAGATCCACTCGATTCTTCATCATCAAGTACCATGATGAAGTCATCTGAAGGAAGGGGCTGTTGAATATCATCAATGTTGTCATCATCAAAACCGAACATAGGAGCCGAGCTTATTTCGATCGCAGTACCATCTTCATTTGAGTCATAAGCTTCTTCATTTGGAGGGGGATTTGAAGGACCAACAACATCCTCCATGTTGTGAACTTGTTGAATAGTGTCTTCCATTGCTGAATTGCCAAAATATCATGAACTGTTTTGGCATTGTTGATCATTGAAGCCCAATATTTAGCTACAAGTTGAATAGCTTCATCCTTCTGTTGTTGTTGCTGCACCTGTTGAGCCTTTCGTGCTTGCACTGCCCTCTTGAATGCTTCAAAATTTATTATCCCTGACTCTGAAGTTGGACGGTATCGAGTCTAAGAGTCATCCGATGCATAGCCCACTACAAGAAAAATACCCTTTACTGACGCGTAAACAATGACACTCGTTGATTTACGATACGCATTTTTGTGTGTCCTTAAAAATAATGTCAGCCTTCCAAAATTCGAAGGATAGAGGACACGCATTTTTGCGCGCCCTAAAATTAATGTCCAATAAAAAAAACACGGAGGGCACCTATCATAAAAAGCGTGTCCTCTACAAATGTCACTTTATAATTTTTACTAAACCCGCGTTTCTGGGACTCCGTGATAGGTAAGGGGGAAAACGAAATCCCCCAAAATTTTGAACACCCGCCTTCCTCTTCCTCTGTACTCTCTACACCCGCCAGATCGACTTCATTCTCTCCCTTCCTTCTCTCTGCAAACCCCTTCCTCTGCGATCGACTTTCACTTCCTTCTCTGTGCAAACCCTAATCAAACATAACACATTTGCAATGGTAATATCTTCTTTCACAAAATAGACGATTGACCGAAGAACTAGGGCTTTTGATGAATCGGACATCACCAACAACGATAGCTACCCATCACAATTTGTGTGTTCTCTCGGACTCCACCGTTCCAACATCACACCACAACAGCGCCTGCATCTGCTGCATCTACACAGACGAAACTGGTGTAGAGAACTGATTCAGTCAACTAAAGCCACACGTATACCCCTTCGGTATCTCAATCCCCCACCGTTCCACTTGCTGTTCCCACCGCTTTTTTCTCTTTCTATTTGTTCTGATCCCGGTTCAAAGCTGTGACGTTGCCACAGGTGGAGAAGAACCAGGTACCTGCTCCACTTCCTTCCTCATTTTCGGTGCGACTACTCTACTCGATTAACTTCTTTCCCTTCCGATTATTGCTCTGTTTCATCGATCGATTGAATCGTTAAATAAAAGTTCTTCTTCATCTATTTGTGTATTTTAACTATATGTGTGTAATCTCCACCGGAAATAAAAGCATTACCCACCCACATGTTCAATTCCAATTAGCTTCAGGTGTAACGATTAAGGTATCGTCCCCGTTTTTTTCATCTTTCTCTGCCTTTCCATGAGGATATGTTTGTAAACTTTGGTAGTTCTCATTTGAAGCTCACAATGTTTAGGATTGGAGTTTGTTCATGGAGCGATACCAGGTATTGGAACAATTTGGAATGGTATGATAACTTTGATTACATGTTCAAACATTTGCCCACCAGGTGTTTGATAAAAGTTTTGTATTCAGGGGGTTAAGGTATGTAACATATGGCGATTAGGAAAACTCTAAAAAACCCTTTAGGGGAAATCTTGTGAACCAAAATCATGATCTTCTACATTTGTGGTGATAATAATGTGAAATTTGATCAACTTTATGTCAAGAGTCAAAAAGAATTTCGTTATATGAACGTACGTGTAATAAGTTTCATAATTAGTTGATGATCTTGAATCTTTTTTTTCAGGGGATAAATAGACTAATGTTTGACTTTTTTGTTGTGATAGTTTCAGGAAAGAAAGTATTTATGCAATTTGAAACGATTAGTAAGGTTGCAGATGCTTATGGAAGGCGATTTTGGCAAAACGCAAACCTCCAATACTTTAACAAATTTTCAAACATGGCGTAGGATGCAACCCCAGATAAGAATTCACAGACTGGCCGTGGTGGAAGACAGTGGGATCAAGCAGAAAAAGCCTGACAATCAACTGACGGTTGATGCTAAGGTCTGTATTCTTGAGATAATGCAAATTTTAACTTGGAAAAATTAAGTTTATTTGATTAAAGAAGCCAAATCTTGCCATTTATTTAATAATTTGACTGACTAATCAGAAAAAGGTAATTGAATTTATTATGTAAATAAAGAAAGTATTTATTTATTTATTTATTTATTTTATTTATTTTATATTTTCTACTTACCATACAAAGATAGGAAATAAAAATGGAGAATACTTCATATCAGTTAAAAGAAGCGAATTATGTATGTGTGGCCTGCTCTTTATGCCTCTATGTATATCTGATATGGTATGTATGTGTGTGTCATCTGATATGAATTGTATATCTTGCCATTTTATCATGGGTTTTTGTTTTCTAATGTTGTCGTTTGATTTCCATGCAGGGTCATCATTAGAGTATGAACCTACAACACCTTTTGGTTGTTGATTCCACGGTTAGTAAGCCTATTTGATTCGTCTTTTATCCACAAATACAATTTTTTTCCCCAACTCTCTTCTGAAGTTACCAATTACTGCTTTCAATAGGGAATCAATGGTGTGCAAGGTTGAATATGTCGTTGGTTCAGGAAGAAAGAGTTTGATCAAAGCAAGGTCTCTCTCCATTTTCAGAATCCGGGTTTCTTTCTTCTTCTTCTTCTTCTTCATCTTATTCTCTGCAAGAAATACTAAATATTCGTATTAAAAAGGTAACAACTATAGGAATTGGTATAATTACGCAGTTGTAAGTCCAGATGACTTAATGTTTTTGATTTATAACCAATTTCTAGATGCAATGTGGATTGAGGGTTCAAGTAATCGTTTGTTTAATGTTTTATGCTAAGTTCCTAACAATTGGTACCAGTATCTGAACAAACATACCTAAAAATTTGAATGGCTATATAGTATTTTCACACACTGGTTGAAAGAATAGAGAATAACTACTTCTCTAATTTGGATTTTCTTCTTTAAGTTCTTTTAATTTTTTTACTAACATGGACTAGGAAGTACAGATGTTGATTGAGCGTTTTGGCCTCAATACTATAATTAAGCCATATATAAAATCTCAATATGATATTTTCCTTTTTTTCTTTCTACTTTTTATTGATAATCTTAGCTGCAATTTATGTCATCATATTTCTTACGTGTCCATATATTATCAATGTTCTTAATGGTATTTTCACTTATTAATGGTGACTTTTCTCTTTTTATTCAGTTCTGACTGGTCAGAAATTCACAATGGTGCATCAATGAACACAAAGTCATGTCATTTACTCAACGATGGACTTGCTTACTACGAACTTAAATGGATCTGATTCTTCACTGGCCTCATAAAGAAGCTCCTCAGTTACAAATCCATTGGAATCCAGACAAAATTCGTTGCTAATAAGTACAAAGAGGTAAAATTTCTTCATTCTTCTATAAAAATTTAATCTTTAATCAGTGGAGTTGGTGGAATTTGTATTTACACACAATGTCAATTTTGTATATCCTCTAAGCACCGTATTATCATCACAGTGCACCAAAAACATCAAGAGGTATTGCATAATACTTACATTCATAAACTTTCTTGATCGTTACATTTTGTTTAATAGTAAACAAAATTAATGCATGATCTTTGTTAGATGAATACATATGGTGAATGAGCTTGACATAGATGAAACCAAAGTTACAGACATATGTGCAACACTCTACAAAGATTATTGAATAACAATGACTTGATTCTTTAGGAGATTCAACTTATTAGATATCAAGGTAATATTGTAATTTGAATTGTTGGTTATCATATTTTTAATTATTTTTTAGTTATCATTTTTATGAATTTTGTTGTTGATTTTATTTATATAATGTCTATAAAAGTCATAAAGTGATTTTGTTACTATTACATACATATTTTTTTACACACACTAATATTTTTTTTGTATTCGATTTGTTTATGTTGAAGTTGGCCTTTTTTTGCATGTTTCAATGTTGTGCGATTGGTATGCTATCTTATTGATCGCCAAGTGAGCAAGACTGCAAGAACCACTCTGTTTTATTTTTTATCGCTATATGATGTCGGGTTTTAGGGATAATCAAGGTTTTCATGTTTTTTACTATCTGTACCAGATGTAATTCTTTGCAATAAAGTAAAATTGGGGTTTTTTATACGGTTGTACCAATTCAACATTTTATTTATTCTAAAAAAATAAAAATGATCCAGAATTAATCAATACCAATATTGGTATTTCTTTTTGTCTTAATAAGGAAGTTCGAGGAACTAATGCTTGCCCTGTTAAGTCAAAACTTTTCACAACTTTCCTCTTATTTACTTTTTACTTTCAATTGCCCAATTGTGATATAACTTGCAAATTCGTATCAATGGTCATGGTTAGAGAGTCAAATCAATATTTCTAGATGCATCCAACAACAACTACAGGAACCTCATCACGACTACCCCTGACCCATGCGGAGCATGGGAAACCTTTCTAGTTAGTATTATATTTTTTAAATAAATCATATCTTGACTATAGGTGACATGTTCCATTAGAGGTAATCTTGGGCCTGCTTGCAATGCTGCTGGAATGATAGACAAATATATTCTTGGCACTGATCATTTATAACAAAAGCCTACTTACAGAAACCTCAAGGTATATATATTATGAAATTCATATATTGTATATATGTACTGTATATATAATATTATATAATTTGCATACAGGAATGTTATATATCTAAAAATGGTAAAGTTTCAGAATCTTCACCTTCATGGTGCTATGCCCCTTTTGAACTCGAAGGCATCTTAAGGTAAATTGTTTATCTATCAATTTTAACATCTACATGAAATTGCATACATGAATGTAATATATCTAATTATTTAAACTTGTGAATTCAAAATCAGTTGTTTAAAATTCGATTGAATCTTATACAGCTAATGAATGACATAGTTGGAATACAGTTCCTTAACAACTTCTTTGGCCTACATAATTAGTCTTCAATATGGTCATATTTTGATCGAATTACATATGTGAATTTCATTTATATTTTACAGTATTTTCCTTGGTCAAATCTTGGTTGACCGAATTTGTTGCAGGGGCATAAAGATCGACTTTGTAACTGGTCCCTCCTCTCATTTTCATTTCTAATTATTGGATCCATACTTTCTCGGTATATATATATATATATATATATATATATATATATATATATATAAATATGCTTGTACACATTAAGTTACCTTCTGGTAACTTCAGCAGCATCAGGACTCACATTTTGTGCATTATATTTACTAGTAAGTCAAAATTAAAAATATCAAAATAAACCCCCCATTGGTTTGGTTTAACACGTGTAAATCATTTACAGGTGGATGTATACAGATGGAGGCTTACAACCTTTGTGTTTGAATAGATGGGAAAACATTATTTAAGCATTTTTATTCATTCAAGGATTCTACTAGAAATCTCCTCACAATAAGCCATCCTATTAGCTATTGTTATTTTATGCATTCAATATGTTCTTGCTATATATAAACATTAAATATTTGTTGTTTTTTTCAAGTTTTTTTGCAGATATACAAGTGTTGCATTTTTCATTTCAATTGTTAGTTGTTCTACTAATGATGGAAGCTGCTAATAAAGGAAATGGAAGAAGCCGAATGAAATAGATTTTTTGTATGAAACACAGAGTAGATTAGATGAATGCAAATTTATATACTATAAGAAATAGAATTGTATGACATTAAATTTTATGCAATGGATTGTATTTTTTGTATATGGTATTTTATTTCTATTATGAGAAATTAAATGCAAATTTAATTTAAAAATTAATAAATATATAAATATATATTTTTTAAACATTTAAATTTACGATACGCAAAAATGTGTGTCATCTTCATTTATGACATGGCCTTTCTTGACAGGGGTTTTCATGATACGCATTGCGTGTCATAAATGTGCGTCGTAAATGCGCGTCATTTATAGACGACGCACAAAAGCGTGTTGTCTCTCGTTATGACAGGGCCTTCCTTGACACGTATTTGCGCGTCGTCTGAGCGTTTTACGACACGCATTGCGCGTCGTAAAAGGCTGTTTTTCTAGTAGTCGCCATCAAATCCTTGATTCGCCGAGGTGTCCCTCGGGTTCATGGTTCCCTACACATTTGTCCTCCCCATGCCTAAAATACTTTTAAGTAATGATGGTGATATAGGATTTCCAGAGCTTCCTCGATCTCCTTTATCTAGAATCAAGTGTGGCCTCTGCTCTGTTCTGGCAAGGGCTGAGAAAGAAGTGCCCTGCGGTGCAACTTGTGGATCAAGTGTTTGTGTGACTCAAAACAAAATGGAGTTCAACTCCTCGGGTTCAAATACGTGCAACCTGGATGCCCTGGAGACCATAGGGCGACTCGTAACAATTGGATCCACTTGGGTTCCAATTAGGGTTATATCTCCATCATGTGATGAAATAGGTACACTTTCTGTATCTGAGTCGTGAGTTTGGGTTTTTAAGGGTGAGTCTGTGGTGACTCGAACAGCTACATGAGTCTTTTGAAAGACTCCGGTATGTGCCATGGTACGCATTTGGCTATGACTTGGGTTTAACTTCAGTTTTTTTCTCCTGAAGATATCATGGGATTCTGAAATCTCATCTTGGTTTTCATCAAGAATATTGACAGGTATGTCATGAACCAGAGCTGTAGGGGTAGGTTCTGCGGTTTGAGCTTTTCTTTTTTTGAGGGAGCAACTCCCTTTTTCACAATGTTCTTTGGAGTTTTCCTTGTGACAACAAGAGATTTGGCTCTTTTGGGTTTTGGTTGAGGGATCTGTTCAGCGGTAGTCTGCGGGTCCTATGTTGCGGTAGGCTGACTTGGTCTTGGCGGGGAAGAGTGTTATGGCGCAATATCACTCGTAGCCATTATATGGTTAGCCACCTCTATAGTAGTGAGTCAAATGGACTCTAAGATGTACACGGGCAGTCTACTAATGGGACCAAAAATAGTTTGATCCTTGGAAGCAGTATACCTTTTGAGATCTCGGGCTGAGAAAAGATTGGTGTCGTTGCCCATGCTGAGTTGAGCATCCTTGTGTAGATCATGTATGCACAATGACCGGAACCTTGCAAATGTAAGCTCTGTCATACTTTCTTTTGGTGCGTCCTTGGAGATGTGTTGCAAGAAATCATCCCAGATGATTTGACCATAATTGACTACATTTCTAGTAAAGATGCTCCATATGATTTCCAATAGCTTGATCCCCATGTTGTCTATCCCTCATGTTCTTCCTGAGAGACATCTGATCATGAAATGGCAAAAAAATTGCCAAACATCTGGTAACTTGTTTTTCTTGAATTCGCATACACCTTTCAATTTTGCTGATAGAGGGCAGAAAACCCATCGGTTGTGCTTGGAGAGTAAAATTTCGTTCAAGGAAGCATTCTGAGATTAATTGCAGAAAGGATTTTTTCCTTGGTGAGAACCACCAAAGAATAATCTATTAGATTTAGATGAACCTCTTGAAGATTGTTGCTAGGTCTGAAAGATGAGAAAACACATTTGAAAAGAACCGCCATTGGAACTGCTTCAGTGAAGGAATTAAATGCACCAAATAGAGGATGTGTTGTAAAGAACTTGATCATCAGTTTAATCGCTTTGTTGTATGATTGATGATCTTCAAATATCCCTCTGAAATTACTGGAAGCAATCGACGAAGAGAGGTCATTGATTGTGGATTCAGACCTTCTTGGACGAGCTGAGCTTGAAGCTTTTGATTGCTTCTTTGAAATTCCACACTTCACCATTTTTGCAGAGAAAAAGAGTTTGAAGAACTTGCAGAAATATTTTTAGCAAGAAGGTGGAGAAGATGAGAGTTCATCGTAAAGAGTTCAGATAGCATAAAAGCTATCTTGGGAAGAAATGGGGGGTTTTTATACCTTCGAATTTCAAAAAGGATTGGATTTACTTAAATGACAGCTATTAAAGTTAAAAAACCTTGGGTTTTCACCTTTATCAACTAGGATTAAAATAAATCAAAATTAAATTATTTCTGAGAAAAAAGGAACATTTATGGCGTTGCAGGACCATGATGGCACGTCGACTGATTGTAGGGTGACGGGTTGTGTTATCCGTTCTAAAACTTGGGGAAGTGGAACGGATTAGACCCCAAACGGCTGTGTGACATGACTGTTTGAGAAAACAAATTTCTTCAAAGGATTGTGTTTATGGAAAATCACTTTATTTGTTTTAATTCGAAAATGGATCTGACTGAGGAAAGTCATTTGAAAAAAAAAACTGAAATGTCATGTGTGACAAAACGAATGTATGAAGAATGTTTTTTTGTTTTTTTGTTTTATGGTTCATTTAGAAGCACACAACATCATTTAAAGTGTTTATGAAGTGATGACTGCAAGTTCATTCAATACAATTGCGGTAGCATGCAGTGTGATTGCGGTAGTAGTAGCTGAACGCAAAAAGGATTATGAAGGTTAGAAATAAAAGAAATAAAGAGACCCGAAGAATATATGGATCGTATGGGATTTCAATATACAAAGTAAACTGAAAAGTGCATATGAAGAATATATTAATCAGTTGAAAAGAATCGTGGTGAAGGAAGTTCTTCAAGAGTTTTGTTTTGAAAAATTAAAAAGCAGTTCATTCACCCTGGAGACCTTAAGTAGTCTGCGGTACTTATCATTTCAAGAAGAACTGCAGGTCTGGGTTCATCATTCCTAGCATTTCTAAAAATCCATTTAACTTGTAGCGTC